CTGAGGAGGAGGAAGAAAAGGAGGAGGAGGAGGAGGAGGAAACCAGGAGGAGGAGGAGGAGGAGGAGGGGAGGAGGAAAAGGAGGAAACGGAGGAGGAGGAGGAGGAGAACGACGAGGAGGAGGAGGAGGAGGAGGAGGAGGAGGAGGAGGAGGAGGAGGAGGACGACGAAAGGCTGGGGAAGGAAAGGGGTGGTTACGAAGCCTGCTGCTCGCAGCTGGTTTCGGTCGCCCCGCCGAAGGGCCAGTCCTCGATGCATGGCCGCTTTCGGCGCCAGGAGGCACTTGGAAAATCGGCGATGTGAGCTTCTTGGCAAATCCCCCTTTTGCTGCGCCCCACTTTCGTCCAGCCCGCCTTGCCCGCAAGCCCGCATCGGTTCGACAGAAAGAGGGGCGGCCTGGCCCGCCCTTCCCTCCAAACACCCCCCCCTTGCCCCTCGTTGGCGGCCCGGCGTCGGCGCTAATCATTGGCGCCGCCCCCTTGATTGCCAATTCTGCACCAGACGATTTCGACCACCCAGCCTAGCCAGAACTTGAGCGCGCGCGAAGGCGCGCGATGGTTTAAGTATATGGGTGTGTGCGTATATGTGTAGATCGTATGTACATGTATATATACATATATATATAGCTATATATAGGGCAATGTATGTTTACGCGTTAACATGTACATTTGTAGACCCGCACGTTTCCACCGATATGTACATGTGTATGTATATAGCTGTGTGCATGTACGCACGTGGATAAACATATGTGTGCACATGTATTCGTATTTACAAGTGGGTTGGTTACGCACGTATACTTAATTATGTATATGCTAAATACCCACATGCATATGTATGGTTACTCACATGCATACACATGCATTCGCGTATGCCGAATCGTTTGTATGTATGTTGCGTTCGCCCCAGTGCATAGGCGTGTTCAGTCAACGAGTAAGGATGTTTTCGTCTCGCTGAGACGCCCTGCGCGTGGTGGCGTCCTGTCTTCGCGCTGTGGGTCACCTGTGCGGCGCGCTACACAGGGGAACCGCGTGGAGCACGGATTGACTACGAATGCGCCAATTGAATCTTTGAGTGCAAGTGAAGTGGTACGCATGTCGGGGCCAGTTTTCGGATGACCCAGCCGCCAATAGGTTACATGTGCGGTGCGCGCTACAAGGGGAAGCGTGTGGAGTACGATTGCACCAATTTGTGCTGAGGCCCACAACGCAATTTGGTCACTTGCGCGGCGCGCGCAACACAGTGGAAACGTGCGGAACTCCAATACACCACTTCATGTTGAGGCCCAGATCGCCAGTGCAACATTGTTGGTTACAAACCGATGTGCTGGTGCATTACCCGTTGGTGGGTCTCATGTGCCGCGCGCTACACTGTGCAAGCGCATGGTGCACGAATGCACCACCAACTCATCATGCTGCCCAGGATGCCAGTGACACAATGTCACGTTCTCCATACGTCTGGTGGCCCATGCGCTGGTTGGTCACCTGTGCAGCGCTCGCTACACAGGGGCAGTGTGTGTAGCACGTATGTACCAACTCATGTTGAGGCCCAAAATGCCAGTACAATATCGTTTCGAGTGATCCACCCGCTGGTGGGTCTCTTGTGCGGTGCGCGCTACACAGGGGGAAGCGTGCGGAGTACGAATGTACCAACTTAGTTCTGTTGAAGCCCAGCACGCCAGGGACACATTTTGTTTTCCTCCATCAACGTCTTGGGGTTACCTACCCGGTGGCGGGTCACCTGTGCGGCGCGCGCTACGTAGTGGATGCGTGTGAAATTCCAATGCACCTATTTAATGCCGAGGCCCAAACCGCCAATGAACCAATTTGGCTTTTCGGAACCAGTGTTCTGGTGAGTTGCCTGCCGGTGGTTCACTTGAGGGGCGCGCGCTACACATGGATGGGGAAGTGTGTGGAGCACGAGCGCACCAATTCATATTGGGGCCCAGAGTGCTAGTGACACGAATGTTTTTTCTCAGCGTTGCCAGCTTTGCCTCTGCGCAGGGCAAGGCTGGCGGCAGCACTTTCTCGGCATCAGCGAGGGTGTGCATGGGGTGGTCCCTGAGCGCGGTCTGGATCCACTCCATGTCGCAGGGCGCGTCAGGTGTAGCACTTTCGCGACCCAGGGACGGTGCGCAGGGGGTGGTCCCCGAACGGTGTCCCTATCGAAACCAGGGTCGCAGGGCGTGGCAGGCGCGGCCTGACGCCAAGAGGCAGTGTGCAGGAGAAGTCGCCCCCTGAACGCGGAGCGCCAAGGAGGTCGCGGGGACGTCCCTGGCGGTCCTGTGTGCCGTGCCTTCCTTTTGTTCCACATGCGCACTACAGGGTGTTAGATTGCCTGTCCGATTACATATGTACTATATATAATGGAAAGGATTGGTCCAACCAGGGTTGGCTGGAGAGGGTTGGCCGAGAGGGTTGGCCCGAGTTCTGGAGGTTGGCCGGGAAGGTTGGCCGGGTCCGTCGTCGCATGAGTTGGCATCGCGTTGCTCGGAAGGGTCGGCTGGGATTGGGGGGAGGCTTGGCGACGCCACTTCTTAGAAAACGAACTCTTTCCATAATATATAGCAGATATGGATGTGCCAGATCGGGTATGGCCAGGACCCCAGGTAAGGGGACCCGGTTAGTGGTAGGGCCCCGGAGCCCCTGAATTGGCCAGAATCACTAAACCAGGTTTGCCGTAGCTGGTGTCTTTTCGGGTTACGGCAGGTCCAGTTCGTGGAACGGGGTGGGGGGCGCGTCCCCCAGTAGACATCACTAAACCAGGTCCCACTAAACCCGGCTCTGTCAACGCCCGATGAGAGCTGGGTGAAGGAGGTTCTCGCGGGCGGAAAAGAGGGTGGTGAGGACTAGGGGGGGGGGATATCATGGCGTGGGCCAGGATATTTCCCCAGATTTTATGGCGCCTCTTCTTATTTCGGTACGTCCCTGGCTCCCCGCTGGGCCGCGCACATGCCGACGGTCATGATCCACACACGCCCCTCTCGAACACCCCCCTCTTGGCCGCTCCCGAGGTTCGAGGAGCGAGCCCGTCAAACCATCCACGCCCAGAGGGCCGGCGGGCTGTCGCGCTGCGGCGCCCCAGGTCTTCGGCAACCCACCTTGTGAAATGTCAGGAGGGGATAAACACACAGAGACACAAGGCATCGTCGACTCCCAGGAACATATGGAAAAATCTGGGAAGTGGGGGGGAAGACACAAACCCAGAAAGTCTATGAGAGTATGGGGAATCCTGCTGTTTGTGTGTATTTACTTGTGTGTCCCAGGGCCCCTTCAGTTACAGTCAGTCCACGCAAATTTGCGAGAAAAACGAAGGACGCAAAAGTGTGTGCCATTGTCCGTGGTTTGGATCGCGAGCGCGTCCCGGCCCCGCGCCAGGGCCGGCGCGCAACCGAAAACCGTTTCCCAAAAATCCTCTCAGCGGTGGGCCGCATATTCTTGATCACCTCAGGGTGACGGACCCGCGCAGCAGCGTACATGCTTGGATCTTCATAAAGCTGAGCGTCTGTCAAGCGCATAGGTGTGACAACAATCGTTGGCAGTTGCCTAGCAGGTTGGGGGAAGAAGCACAGGTTCCGCCCCCACTCTTGGCCCCCCTCCTCCTCCTCCTCCTCCTCCTCCTCCTCCTCTTCCTACTCCTCCTTTTCCTGCCCCCCTCCCCGCTTTCCCCCCTGCACCGCCCGTCCTGCTGCTGCTGTTCATCTTCCTCATCCTCTGTCGGCTCCGTCCATGGTGTTGCGCTTGGCCCACCCTGCGGCTCAAGCAATCCCCTGCCATGGGGCCTGTTTTGTGTGCTATGCACGGCCGTCCCCTCGTGCTGCCCATTATCTTTTTTTCTTGGGCGTGCCTCGTCGGAAGCAGGCCACTGTTCTATCGTACTTCTCGCTTAGTAGGGTCACTCGTTCTGCTACCAGCCATCACCTTGAACCCCCAGTCTAGATGCCTACGCATCATCGCAGCATGCCTAGGCATGGCCGTGCCGAAGCCTCGGATGCGAGAGATGCGTCCGTGGACGTAGCTGGGCGTAGCCGATTCCTAGGCATCGACCTGGTGATGCCCAGGCATCGAGCTGGCGATGCCTCGGCATCGGCAGGAGGGTGCGCAGTTTAGGCATCGATGGCCCAAGCTACCAGAGCCCCTGGATCGTGCCAACCTTCTCGTCTCTCTCTCTCTCTCTCTCTCTCTTTTGTTTTCTCTCTCTCTCTCTCTTTCTCTCGATCTCTCCTCTCCTGCCTCCTCCTCCGCGTCCTCCACCTCTTACTCATTGTCTACCTTCTCCTCCTCTCCTCCTTCTCCTCCTCCTCCTCTCCGACCCTGCCACCACACCTGCGATGCTCTGATTGTTCATGAGCGCGGCCCGTCCTCTGATTGTTGATCAGCGCGGCCCCCAGGAGTCCCGACACATTCCTCCGGGGGGGGGGGGCCCTTCGTCCTTGGATCGTGTCTGGGCGGCCCCAGGGCCTGGCGAGGGCCCCCAGGGGCCGAAGACGGTTGAAAAACCTGCCGTCGTGAGCCTTGGCGCGGGCATGTCTGGGTCCTTGGCGCGTAGCGTTAGGTCGGGCATGTCCTCCTCCGGGCGGACTTTGGAAGAAAAGCTAACCATAGCCGTCAAAAAGTTGCAAACATAGTCAAAAGCAAGAAAGTTCGTCCCCAGACTAATCTTTTTAACAATTTTTGCATATGCCTTTTGTAGAGGGACATGCCCGTCTTAAGCCTAGCGCTGGTGGTGGTGGTGGTGGTGGTGGTGGTGGTGTCGTTTTTCCTTGCTCTCGTTTTGGGGGGGCGCCCATAGGTAGGACGCTGGAGATGGGAGGACGGGGAGGTCCTCATCCTCCTCCTCCTCGTCCTCGTCCTCGTCCTCCGCCTCCTCCTCCTCCTGGTCCTCGTCCTTTTCCTCCTCCTCCTCCTCCTCCTCCTCCTCCCTTTCCTACCTATGGCAGCAGTGGTGGTGTCGTCTTCCCCAGCTCTTGATTTTGGGGGGCGCCCCCCCCGCCGCCGCGCCAGGGACCCCGCCCGGGCCCGCGGCTCCACGGAGGAGGGCTCGCCCGAGCGGCTGTGGCCGGACACCGAGAGCGACACCGAGGATTGGGGCGGCCGAAGCTACACCTCCTTCTCCTCCTCCTCCTCCTCCTCGTCCTTCTCCTCTTCCTCCGCCTCCTCCTCCTCCTACGCCTACGCCTCCTCCTCCTCCACCTCCTCATCCTCCCCCTCCATCTCCTCCTCCTCCTCCTTCTCCTCCACCTGCTCCTCCTCCTCCTCCTCCTCCTCCTCTTCCTCCTCCTCCTCCTCCTCCTCCGCCTCCGCCTCCAAAAAGGAGTGGGGGGAAAGGGAGGAATAGGAGGAGGGAGGGAGGGAAATCTAGGCCCCCTTGATGGGGTCGGGGCAGATGGGGTCGGAGGATCGCGCCGCATCGCCGATGCATCGGCGATGCGGCTCGATGTGGAGCCCGATTTGCTTCACGCCGACGTCGCCGATGCATCGCTGGCGTCGGCGATGCATCGCCGATGATCGCCGATGCATCGCCGATACATTGGCGGGGATCTAGCGTCGGTTAGCGCCGATCTAGCGTCGGTTGGCGTCGATTTAGCGTCGATTAGCGTCGATTTAGCATCGGCTAGCGTCGATTTAGCGTCGATGAGCATTCACAAGACCATCGAGGAGCATCCTTCATCATCATGTTGCAAAACAAGCACGAACGAGATCGAAGCATGCACGAGGAGTGGACGTCCGAGCGATGTCGAGGATGGTTTCTGTTGTTCCATTATCTGCCGCGCAACGGTCGTTATCAGCCCCCTGCACACCCAGGGCCGAGACGCGCATCAGCACAGCACAACCAAGTTACCATCATCATCGCCATCGCCCTCATCATAACCAGCACGAGCATAATCATACATGGCGAAGCCAGGACGAGGATCAGTTCGAGTGAGGATACATCAGGAATCTCTGAGATCTGGCGGGTCTGGAGGCCGTCTCGGGCGCTGCGGCCTTCTCAGAGCGCTCCAGAACGCTCCGAGAGCGTTCTGGAACGCTTTTGAGCGTTTTTTTCCGGTCCTGGCGCCGTCCGATCATACGCTAGGCCGCCTAGATGGGGTCAGAGCAGATGGGGTCGGTACCGCCTCTCCAGTCCTTCAAAAGGGGGACAACTCTATCCTCATCGCTGCTGGAAGACTGCCAAGCGGACGTGCACGGCGCTACCGCCACGGAATTCAGGTATCATAGTCTACGCCGCTGGCGGCGGGCACCGAGGGGACGGCGAGAGTGGAGCGCATGCGTGGACGTCGATCCGTCAGCAAGCAGCAACGACGGGGGAGGCCCCGAGGGGCACAAGGGCGAGCAGGGGGCCACGCAAAGCAGCGAGAGGCGATCGGCGCACGCCCCAACTTCCGCAAGCGGGAGCACGGAGCGCACCGTTCACCAACCCGCCGCAAGGAACAGCCCCCCGAGGGGAGGAGGAGACGCCAGCGGCGGAGGAGGAGCGGGAAAGGCGAGAGGAGCGGAAGAGACGAACGACGGACGACGACGAACGAGGAAGACGGCAGCAGAGTGGATCGTTACCCGCATGAACGCAAACAAATATGTAAATACAAATTAGCTGCCCGAACATTGGCGGGTGGAAGACGCTGCGAGAAAAGGGGCGGAAAAAAGAAGCGTTGGCGGGACGCGCTACGCGGCGTCCTCCCCCAACTCCGCCAGCGAGCCTGGCGCGGCAGCCACGGCTCCGCCAGCCGACGGGAGCTCCGCGTGCCTCCTCAGGACTGCTCGCGCCGTCGCCCGGCGAATCGCCACGGACAAGCGCTGGAACAGGCGTGCTGCGCCCGCCCCCAGCTCCTCGCTTCGTCTCCGATCACTGGCCCAGGCTAGCCGGCGCAGAGTGTCGGCGCCAATCGGGCCCAAACTTCAGAGGGCTCCGCCACGAGGGGGATGAACACGATCCCTTGCTGCTGGCACTGCCGCTCTCTGTCGAGGTGGTTCCTCTTTACCAACGCGTTCTCCTGCGCCGCGCGCCCCACTTCCTGGAACGCCAGGACACGGGCGGCCTGCCTGTGCGGCGAAGACACCGCGAAGTCGAAGGCAGCAGGCGCCCCCTGGAAACAGGAGGGTATGTAGACATCCGCAGGCTGGCGCCCATTCGCCTGGACGTCGTCTGGGCGGGGCGGCAGGAGGCCAGGCTGTTCGAGCGTCGGGTTGAAGCCCGCGCTGGTGGCAAAGGTGCCGACCACGTTCCTTGCTCCGTTGTGCCGGTGGACGCGATCCCTGGCTCCCGCGCATAGGCCTGCGTGCTGGCCGTGGCGGTCGCAGACGTCCTCTCTGCAGGGGCAGAAGTGCCCAGTTTCGTACGCAGGCATGAGGAGCCTGCGCTTGACCCTGCACACGAACTCCTCGGGCTCGAAAAGGAGCCCCAGCTGCTCGCTGGGCTGCGCCTCGAGGAAGTCTGGAGCGCCGGGCAGCCCCTCTGAAACGATGTCCGCGCGGTCTGCGGCCCCCAAGCCCGCCAGGAAAGTCTGGTGCCCGCGCTCGTCCACCGCGGCGGAGAGCTGTTTCTGCGTGGCCCTTGTGATCGCCGCCGGGTCAAGGCCGTCCGCAGGCGCCAGCTGGGCGCTGTACGCCAGGAGCGCCTGCCGCTCCAGCGTAGCCGCGCTGCGCGGCGCCCGCGTGTAGGCCGAGTCGAAGTCGCAGCACATGTGCCGCGTGGCTGCGAGACTAGCCAAGTAAGCGCCGAGCGCGTGCGCCGTCAGCTCCCGCAGGCCGAGCCCCGCGTGGGCGAGCCCTCTGGCTGCCTGGTCCCACTGCGCGTCCGTCAGGTCCGCTGTCAACAGGTCCGACAACGCGCGCCGCTGGCCGTCGTCGAAGCAGCGCAGCGCTTCCGAGAAGAGAGCAGACGGCTTTGTGCGGGCGTTGTGCACGAGTTTCGCGTTGCTCGCGCAGTAGCGAAGGAGGGCGAGCCCCACCTGGGGGTGTAGGTTGGCGAGCGCCTCCAGGGCGGGCTTCGTCTTGTCGGCGGGGCGCTGTGAGAACGTCTCGCAGTAGTCGTTCGCCCCAACAGGCGCCCCCAGGAGCTTGAAACCGCCTCGTAGGACAACGCGGTCGGCCCCCGTCTTTGCGTCCGCCAGGAGAGGCGCAGGGAAGAGGTCCCCCAGGCCGCCCAGCCTGCGTCCGCAGGGGACCAGGAGTTCGCACTTGCCGAGGTGGAGGAGCAGGCCCGAGTCAGGGCAGTTGCGCTGCAGCGTCGCCAGTGCTCGCACCGCCGCTTCCTTGGAGCCCGCCAGGATGCCGTCGCCCAGGTAGAAGGCGCATCGGTCCAGGTCTGCAGCGCCCGCTAGCTCCTCCAGCACCGCGTGCGCGGCGAGGGCGAAGATCAAGGGCCCTAGCGGGTCCCCTTGTTATACGCCTGCTTGCGCGGACATGACATGGCTGCCAGGAGGAGGAGGAGGAGGAGGAGGAGGAGGAGGAGGAGAAGGCGGAAATCATGAAAACAACTTACGTCAGAACGGTCGACAGGGGTCGACGAAGAACATACGCCATAAACATAAATGTTAGCATTCCGCGCTGTTTTCTTGGATCCGCGTTGTTGCCCTCACGGCGGCCGCCCCTGTCGCGCTCCGCACGCCGGGGAGGGGGGCCCGTCGCAGATGCAAGAAATCCGCGCGGAGCGCCACAAGTTTATGCTTATGGTGTATTCTCTCCTCTTCTAACGGGTGCACAGGCAAGAAGGGGCTCGAAGAGCGACAGTATTTCATGCCCATCTTGGGGCCGATCCTTCGGTGGGGAGGTGGGAGGGGAGCGACGGCTCGAAGATGGAGGCGCGCTCCCGCGTGCTTGGCCCTCTCTGGGCCTTCTGGAGGGCCCGTCTCTGCCGCGGCCGGGGCCGCCTCATCGAGATGGGCACTTGGAGAATGGGGACGAAAGCCAGTGTGGGTGGGAGGGGGAGATTCGGAGGAGGAAAAAGTACCCATACCTCTACCCCCTCGCCCGTTTTCCCCTTTTGGGGGCCTCCTGGGTGGTCCTCGTCGCCACCGCTGGATTCGCCTCGAAGTCCTGGTCAGAACGCACCCGGGGAGAGGTCCGGGGAGTAGCGGTATCAGTACCTTTTGGTCTCCCCAGAGATTGAGGGGGGCATACGTGAGGAGGGGGAGATTGCGGGCAAGATCGGTGGGGGGAGGAGGATGAGTGTGGGGGGGGGAGGGGGGGAGAAGGACGGGGATGGGAGCAGGAGGGGCAGGAGGGGGAACGGGAATTGGGGGACGTCAAAGACGGTCGTGGTGGTGAAGACGGTGACGGTGACGATGATGACAACGATGATCATGATGACACGGGTGATGACAGTGAGGATTATGATGGTGGTGGTGATTAGTTTTGGTGATATTTTTGATGATGTGATGATCAAGTCTATGGTTGTTCCCTCTGTGGTTTTGACCTCACCTACCTCTCCCCCTCCGCCTTCTCCTCCTCCTTCTCAACCGCCTCGTCATGATCCCTCAACCTTCCCCTTCCCCCTCCAGCCCTCGACCCCCCTCCTTTCTCCCTCCCCCTCCTCCTCCTCCTCCTCCTCCTCCTCCTCCGCCTCCTCCCCCGCCTCCTCTTCCCTCCCCTTTACCCTTGCCTCCCTTCGGTAGCCATTTTGGCTCGGGCCAGAGGCCCAAGCTTTTGCTGGGGCGCCGGCCCCGCAGCTGGCTCGGGCCAGAGGCCCCGCAGCTGGCCCCGCAGCTCGGGGGGCGCCCGGGCCTCCTCGCCTGCCCTTCTCTGCCATTGCGCCTGCCGCCCGCGATGGCGCCCATCGAGGAGCTGGAGAAGGACGGCGAGGAGGCGGACACGCCCGAGGTCAAGGATCTATTCCACCACCCACCAAACCACCCCAACCCAACCCGAAGGCCTCAATTTGCCCTCCATTTCCAGTTGGGGGGGGTCGGGGAACATTGAAAAAACACATATGGAACCCGTATCCCCTCCAAGCCGAAATTGGGGTCTTCGGGTTGGGTTGGGGTGGTCTGGTAGGTAGTCACCATTCGGGCCGATCGAAAGGGGGGGATTGGGAAAGGGGGGTTACGAAATCTGCTGCATGCAGCTGGTTTCGGCCCCGCCGTC